AATACTCAACCTCCACTTTTATATAAGTGGCGTACGTACGTACTCAATTTTATTATTTTCCACTATTTTTTCCACAACATTACCTACCATATAGTCAACTAAATATACCATCAAATCTACCCGTAGTGTCACTTGAATAATAAAGTACTAAACAAACACCCAAGCAAAACCATGACCTATAACACGTTCATTTATTTGTTATAGAAATTGCTTTTGCCTATTGGCCATTTAAAATCCATGGCAGAAGAAAATAAAATTGAGTACCATTTAATGACAACAAAGCCAACAATGAAATAATGCAGAAGTGAAATAAAAACGATGCTAACAATTGAATTACAACAATCAAATCTTAAGTGGCGCCAAAAACGAAATAATTCGATTCGAATGGAATTGAATCGAATTTAGTTCCACATTAAGTGTGAATGAAATCGATAATTAATACCAAAGCGTAAACAATGCGGAACACGTTTTCGCATGGAAGTTTGTTTTTGAAAATTTAACAAAAAATAAAAACAATAATTCATATTAGTTATCCAAAACACCAATCACTAAAACTAGGTTTATGGATTTTTGCCCATTTTTGACATTTATTGGTGTACATATTTTAAAATTAATATTTATTAAAAACGGTAGTTTTTCCTTATACGTTGACAATTTCCTCAATCATTGACACCATTCATATAAAAGCCATGCCATGAAAATAATACAGTTAAATATATATACAGAAAAAAACCAGTAAAGAAAGTCTTGAAGTCGGGCGGGGCCGACTTTGTGATACCGCATAACAATTAAAAGTTTTTATGGGAGAATTCAATCAAAGGACCATTTGGTGCACAATTAATTTGAAATCGGATAAATATATATATATGGGAGCTATATCCAAATTGGAACCGATCTCGATAAAATTTGGCAAAGATATTTCTGAGCTGTATTTGATATATTGCCCTGAATATCGTTGTTACGGAGTGCATATTACGGCTGTGGGTAACAAATATGACAAATCGGATGAACAGTATATGTGGGAACTATACCTATATCTGAACCGATCTTCACCAAATTTGACATACTAGCTTCTAGACTCAATTCGGTCGTAAGTGCCATCCCATTTGGGCAAATATTAGACGATTGGTACACAATCAAAGGTAAATCGGACGAAGTTATATATGGGAGCTATATCCAAATCTGAACCGATCTCGATAAATTTTAGCAAATGTATTTCTGAGCTGTATTTGATATATTTCCCCAAATATTGTTGTTACAGAGTGCAAATTACGGCTGCGGAGACAAAAAAATAGCAAATCGGATGAACAATATATATGGGAGCTATAGCTAACCGATTTCGATCAAATTTGGTATACTTATTTTCAGTTCCCATCTGATCGTACGTGCAAAATTCCATACTATTCGGACTGATATTACACCTTTGGTGCACAATAAAAGGCAAATCGGACGAAGATATATATGGGAGCTATATCTAAATTTTGACCGATTATCTCCAATTTCAATATGGTTCGTCCTTGGGCCAAACAAATGATTTGATTTCATCTAGATAGGGCATTAAATGCGAACTGTACTTTGTTTACAAAAATACATGGACAGACGGACGGACATGCATAAATCGACTCAGAATGTGATTCTGTACAGATCATCAAAAGGAACTGTGGGTCTATATCGTTTCCTTTTGCCTGTTACAAACAAATGCACAAAGACATAATACCCTGACCACCTTGTGGTGTAGGGTATAAATATACAGTTATTTTTATGTGGCGAACTTATCCGACACTGAAAGGCTAATTCATCATACTTTTCAGTAGTTTGTTCTTCAAATCTCATAAAATTGACCATAAATTTAACTTTTTATACCCTCCAACATAAAAGGAGTTTGTCATTTCATTCCTCTAAAAATTCATTCGGTACCCACAAAGTATATATATTCAAGATCAGCATAAAATTCTAAGTCTATTTAATATGTCCGATGTGAGTCTGTTTACATCAGGATACAATCCACTTTGACGAAGAGCTTTGAAATTTTGCTCAATACTTTGTATTGTGTCTACGATGGTTGGTATTGAAAGTGAGATGTATTGGTCCACGTTTTTATTGAGAGTTTGTAAGGGCTTCTATCTATATAGTGGTATCTCCCCATATTCGGTATATTGAAGAGTTTGCACAATTTTTTTAGCGAAAAAACTCAACAATAAAGAAGTTATGACCATTTTTTAAATTTATTATTTAGGGTTCGTGATTATTTAGGGTTTGTAATATTATCTATGCTTTTCTATAGCAGGTACCTCCAAATATTCGGTCTATCTATTTGGGCCACATTTTTGATCGAATTTGTTTTAAACTCGATATTTGTAGTTCATAATGGGTTCGGAAACCGGTGTTAAAACATTGTCCATATTTTCCACGGACTCCATATAACGGTATACGTCAATATTCGATATTTTAATGATCCTAGCCACATTTTGTCACGGAATTGTTTCAATTTGGGTATTTAAGACTCGCAATAGATATAAAGGGTGAGATAAAAAAACTGCAACAATTTCAAACGCCATAATTTTTACATTTTTTTTTATTTTATTGAATGAAAGCAAAAAATATCGGGAATAGCATCAAATTTTAGAATAAGTTTAGATTTTTTTCGAATTGGTCACCTTTGGCACGAATTATGGCCTTCAAACGGCCAATGAAACCGTCACACGCTGCCCGAATGTTGCTCTGCGGTATTATGGCCCATTCCCGGCAAAGCGCTTGCTTGAGGTGATAGACACTTTGGTATTTTTTAGTGCCAACCTTGCTTTCCAAAATACTCCAGACACAATAGTCCAACGGATGGGTATCCTCATTCGAGGAACCTCATTTTGTAACCATTCCTGGGTGGCGCGTGCTGTGTCCTGTTGGAATTTTCAAGGTCTGCGATCAAAATGTTTGCGTGCCCAAGGCTTTAATACACCCTCCAGAATATTTTCTCTATAATATTCGGCATTTATTCTGAAGCCACTGTCGATTAATACGAGCGGAGAGCGACCATCGGATGTTATGGCGGGCCACACCATCACCATGGCCGGCGCTTGAGTTCGGGTGGCCAACCGAAGGTGCACATTTTCAGCTGACCCTTTGGCAAGTAAACACGATCATTCCGTTTGTTTTCTTTCTGTTGCGGTGTAAATTCTTGTACTTTTTTAAATTTCAATGGCTTTACCCCGAGTTCATTTTTCAATATTTGCCGAATGGAATATTCCGATATGTTCAGCTCACGAGCCATTTTTGGGCCACTGCGACGAGGGTTTCGATCAATTCGCTTCTTTACTTTTCGAACCATTTCTGCTGATATGATGTTCTTCCGTCCACTTCCTTGACCAGTATCACGGTAACGAGCGATGCTACGAGACACAAAAGATTTATTCACATTTCAATGCTGGAGTGCTTTTTCGGAGTATTTTTTTGCCTTTTTTCTGAATAGAAAAAATTCGGAGTGATTTCTTGTTAGGAATAAAAAAAAACAATCGGAATGATTTTGTTTCGGAATAGGAAAAAATTCGGAGTGATTTTTTTAGCATAAAAAAAATCGGAGTAATTTTTTTTTCGTTTAGAAAACAATTGGGAGTATTTTTTCGTTTAGAAAACAAATCGAAGTATTTTTTTTTCGTTTTGAAAAATGTCTGAATATTTTTTTTTTTTTTTTTGCATAGGAAATAAATCGGAATTTTTTTTGTTTAGAAAACAATTCGGAATACTTTTTTCGTTTAGAAAACAAATTTGAATAATTATTTTTTTTCGTTAAAAAAAATCGGAGTAATTCTTAGAAAAAAAAATTGGAGTAATTTTTTTTCTTTTTGTAAGAAAAAAAATTCAAAGTAATTTTTTTCAGAAAAAATTTAGAGTCATTTTTTCGTACTGATTTTTTTTTTTTTTTGACATTACCAAATACTCGGATTATTATTTTTCAACATTTTGACCCTTTGTGGGGGAGGTACTTGATGGAGTGGACTGATATTGTCCATTACCGCACCTGGCCTAGCGCTGATGCAAATATTATGATCTGCAAAGTTGGAGCAAAATCGAATTATCCTTTCCCTTTCAGTGCGGGAGTTAACGTTTCCAGGAGGAGTGGACCGATATTGCCCATCTCCGAACTCGATTTAAGTTTGATTACGATGTACAAAGTTTGGACCAAGTCGGATACTTCCTTGTAGAGTTATCGTTCGCACCAGCCAGCCAGACAGACGGACATCCCTAGATCGACTCCAAATGTCCTGAAACGGATTTGGTCCAAAGTTATCCAGGGTCTAAAACATTTACTTTGATGAAGCACGTTTTGGCTGTGGTCAAATGATATATTCCCTCTCTAGCCATATGTCTGGGGGTATAAAAATTCAGAAATTGGACGATAACTTAACCTGTATATAAAGCTTCTAATCGCCAATTACAGTGACCGTTGCTGTTAACGATCATCGTTGACCTACTGATATTTTTTCAACAGATCGCTTCGTTGAAAATTGCTGCTACGTGAGTTGAGATGCTGTGGTCAGTGTGTCCATGGGGCTAGCCGGACTGCGTTCTCAACGTTGTGGGCCAACACGCAACGTAAACGCAAACATCTAACATCGCAGCATCGCTCATAAACTATGGAATTAAGCGAAAATTCTCATCATATTTGTTTTTTATTAGCTGAAACTTTAAATATTTGTATTCTTGTTAGTGTGTGTGTGTATTTTGCACATTAAAGTTGAATTTTTTCACAAAAAATATATTTTTGCTGTTGCTGAGATGGATGTTGCCGCCTTATTACTTGAGGCCGTCATTGCCATAAATCATCAAATATAAACAACAACAACAACGGCCAATGGCCTCTTGACAGCTGTCATACTTTGCCTTGTTGCTTGTGGTACACGATTTTGGTCAAAAGGTCAAGAATTTCACATAAACCTCCACTTTGGAGTTCTAAAACTTGAAAATGCCAATGATGAGCTAAACACAAAAATAAAAACTCAAAATATTTTAGGAAAATTATTTTTTATTTATATTTATTTTTCTTTTATCAAAAATACATGTCTAGATATATAAAAAAACAGTGGCTGTACATAAATAAAAGTTGTGTTTTTCATTCGGCTTGATTTGTTTTTGATGTGGTTTTTCGTAATGGAAGTTCAAGGTACTAGAGTTTGGTTAGCATTGATTCATTCATTCGTCAATTTTCAAAGTTTGTCGGACTGTCCTTGTGCGTTTGTGGTAATACTTGGCGCTTAATTGGTACGGTTGAGTATGTCTCTACATAGCTAGGGTTAGAACTGGTCGACCTTAGTACTTGAATGGTTTGCTGGGTTTATTGTAGTTGTAACCATCGGGTCCCAGTGAACCGGAATCCTCACCGGTACCAGGTGCTGTTCCTGGATATGAGGGCTTTTGTGGGCCAGGGTACGAGGGCTGTTGGGGTCGCGTAGTCTGTGATCCAGGATAGGATGGTTGTTGAGGTCGGGTAGTTTGAGAGCCGGGATATGAAGGCTTCTGTGGTTGTGTTGTCTGTGATCCAGGATATGATGGCCGCTGGGGTTGGGTGGTTTGTGAACCGGGGTATGATGGCCGCTGGGGTTGGGTGGTTTGTGAACCGGGGTATGATGGTTTCTGTGGACCAGGGTATGATGGCTGTTGAGGTTTCGTTGTTTGGCTTCCAGGATATGATGGCTGTTGTGGTTTGGTGGAAGGATAGCTTGGTTTGGGTTGGCTAGATGATGGTTCTGGATATTGTGGTCCCGATGGTCCTTGAGGTTCGGGTGCTGGGCAGCCAGGAGGAGGACGTTGACCTGGTCTCAAAGGAGCTGAGCAGTCAGGCTCTGGCTCGGGGCATCCAGGAGGAGGACGTTGACCGGGTCTCAAAGGAGCTGAGCAGTCGGGTTCTGGCTCAGGGCATCCAGGTGGAGGGCGTTGACCTGGTCTCAAAGGAGCTGAACAGTCAGGTTCTGGTGCTGGACAGCCGGGTGGAGGACGTTGACCTGGTCTCAGAGGAGCTGAACAGTCAGGTTCTGGTGCTGGACAGCCGGGTGGTGGACGTTGTCCCGGTCTCAATGGGGCTGAACAGTCAGGTTCTGGTGCTGGACAGCCGGGTGGTGGACGTTGTCCCGGTCTCAATGGGGCCGAACAATCTGGCTGTTGTGGTTTACTTCCTGGACGTGGCTTATAACCATTTGTTGGTGACACTTCGTTTCCCTCAGGGGGCAAATATTCAACACCGGGTTTATCTGAAGGGAACTGTGGTTTCTGTCCAGGTCTTCCAGGTTGCTGTGGTCCGGGGCCAGGAGCAGGGCGACCAGGTTGTTGAGGGCCAGGACCTGGGGCTGGACGACCAGGTTGTTGAGGACCAGGACCTGGGGCAGGACGGCCAGGTTGTTGAGGTCCAGGACCAGGGGCAGGACGACCAGGTTGCTGAGGACCAGGACCTGGTGCAGGGCGGCCAGGTTGTTGAGGGCCAGGACCTGGGGCAGGGCGGCCAGGTTTTTGAGGACCAGGCGCGGGAGCTGGACAGCCAGGAGGAGGACGTTGTCCTGGTCTCAATGGAGCATTACAGTCCGGCTCAGGTTCGGGGCAGCCCGGTGGAGGACGTTGGCCTGGTCTCAATGGAGCGCTGCAATCGGGTTCAGGTTCTGGGCAGCCAGGTGGAGGACGTTGACCAGGTCGCAAGGGTGCACTGCAATCTGGTTCTGGTTCAGGACAGCCAGGTGGTGGACGTTGTCCGGGTCTCAATGGTGCAGAACAGTCAGATTCTGGAGCCGGACATCCTGGTGGAGGGCGTTGTCCGGGTCTTAATGGAGTCGAGCAATCAATTTGGGGACGCTGTGTTGGTGGAGGCCTTGGTTGATATGTTGGTCCTGGAGGAACATACGATGGACCTGGCGTTTGAGGTTTGGGTCCAACAGGCGTTGCTGGTGTTGGATAAGGTTGTTGTGGCCGTGAAGATGGTGCCTGGGGTTTCTGATCAGGAGGTAAATATTCCAAACCTGGTCCAGGTCTTCCAGGTTGTTGAGGTCCAGGGCCAGGTCTGCCAGGCTGTTGAGATCCAGGGCCGGGTCTTCCAGGTTGTTGAGGTCCAGGGCCAGGTCTGCCAGGCTGTTGAGGTCCAGGGCCGGGTCTTCCAGGCTGTTGAGGTCCAGGGCCAGGCCTTCCGGGTTGTTGAGGCCCAGGTCCAGGTCTACCGGGTGTTTGAGGTCCAGGTCCAGGAGCTGGACATCCTGGTGGAGGACGTTGTCCCGGTTTCAATGGTGCTGAGCAGTCAGGCTCTGGTTCAGGACAGCCAGGTGTAGGACGTTGACCTGGTCTCAATGGTGCGGAGCAGTCAGGCTCTGGTTGAGGACAGCCAGGTGGAGGACGTTGACCGGGTCTCAAAGGAGCATTACAATCTGGCTCTGGTTCTGGGCAACCAGGTGGAGGACGTTGGCCTGGCCTCAGTGGTGCGGAACAGTCAGGCTCAGGTTCTGGGCAGCCGGGTGGAGGACGTTGTCCCGGTCTCAAAGGAGCAGAACAATCAGGTTCTGGTGCTGGACAACTGGGAGGAGGACGTTGACCTGGTCTCAAAGGTGCTGAGCAGTCGGGTTCTGGTTCTGGGCAGCCAGGTGGAGGGCGTTGGCCAGGTCTTAAAGGAGCATTGCAATCAGGTTCTGGTTGCGGGCAGCCTGGTGGAGGACGCTGACCAGGGCGCAGTGGAGCTGAACAATCTTGGGCAGGGCGCTGCGTTCCAGGTTTGCCAGGTTGTGGTTTTGGTGGTCCATAACTGGGTGCAGGAGCGGATGGAGTTTTGGGAGGTGGCAAATAACTAGGACCAGCACCAGTAGGTCCTTGTGGTCCTGTGGGGCCTTGTGGTCCTGTGGGACCTTGAGGACTAGTTGGTCCTTGTGGGCCAGTTGGACCTTGAGGTCCAGTACCTGGTCCAGATGCAGATGGTCCAAAACCAGGCGCCGAAGGTTTATAGCTAGGTGCAGAGCCTGGACCAAAACCAGGAGCAGGACCAGATGGTTTATAACTGGGAGCCGAGGGCTGTTGTCCTGTAGGTCCGAATCCGGGAGCTGGGCCAGATGGTTTATAACTAGGAGCTGATGGACCAAATCCTGGAGCAGGTCCAGCTGGTTTATAACTTGGTCCTGAACCAGGTTGTTGTCCAGTTGGTCCAAATCCTGGAGCTGGTCCAGAAGGTTTATAGCTTGGCGCCGGTGCTGAAGGTTGAGTATCGGTTGGCTCATAACCAGGTGCTGGACCCGATGGCTTATAGCTGGGAGCAGGAGCAGAAGGACCAAACCCTGGAGCAGGACCCGATGGTCTGTAACTTGGACCACCAGTTCCTGGTGCAGGTCCCGATGGCTGTTGACCTGTTGGTCCAAATCCTGGTGCTGGACCCGATGGTTTATAGCTAGGTCCAGATGGTCCGAAACCGGTACCTGGCCGTTGGGGTTTGTAGTCGTTATCTTCTATGCCATTACCGGAAGGAGGTTGAGGAAATGGCACTGATGGCTGTTTGTAATGATAGCCATCTTCACGGAGATCTGTATCCAAATGTGAAACGTCACCATAAACACTGACAGCGGCCAAAACCGCTATCAGGCAAATGAATAATTTCTGAAAAGAAAAAAAGGGCAAATAATTGTGTCAAAAGAGTAAGGGTTTAATTAAGGGAAACATTGGAAATAGTTTGAAAAAATGAAATGCAGTCAAAATAGTCCGTCAGTTAATCTTTTGTCTCCGTTTAACTATAATATTATACCATTAACTATAATATGGTATGGTATCCCATGGCCGGCCCCACCCGCCTCTAGCCTTTACTCACTAGATTTTATTTTTGATTTATTTAAAAACTCAAATTTCGGTAATTATACATTTTCATTAACTTTTTGTTATCGTTTCTGTTGACAAAAGATTGACGGACGAATGTTATCTCTTTAAATTGGTCGGAAATTCATCGTTATTCCAATATTCTTGTCAATCACAGATTTTGTGTGAAAAAGACACACAAAATCTGTGATTGTCAAGAATGTTGACTTTAAACTTCGGATTTCTAAATATCTTTGTCAATATTGAATGTGGCAAGGGTGGAAATGCGAGCGTGGAAAGGCGAGTATGGAAATAGAATACCCCACCAAAAATTGTCAAAATTTTGAAAGGAACAATTAGTTGCTGATTTTCCCAAACTCCACACATTCCGTTTTTTTTTCTATGTGAATTGAAAAAGTGTGTGTATTTTTTGTTAAGAAGGATATACTGGGCTAGGACTAGAAGGACATTACGTAAAATTTTTGCCAATAGTGTGATGTAGCTCTCTAACTGAATCGCAATTACTGACTGATTGATTGAGAATCAGTCATGGTGGTAGGCGTGTGTTGTGGGTTTGTTGGATAGACGTACTAAGAGCATACGAAAAATACTAAAAATTTAATACTTTATATTGGACAAACGGAAAGAGGTTCAATTCTGATATTTGGACTGAGAGTCACTGATAATTTGACAAATTTACTAAATTGTGTCAAATATTCCAAATTTCATTGAAATCGGAAATCTAGAGCGTGCATAAAATAGGTAGATCAACCAATTTGTTTTAAGGTTACAAAAAGTTCTAAAATGGTACCGTTCTGGTATTATGTGAACAGGTTAAGATAAAAAATTGAAATTTGGTATGAGAATCAAGGTTGGAAAGTAAGGTGCGCACTGTACTAAATTGTACTCAGTTTGGAACATTTTAGTTCAGGGTGAACGAATGAGGGCGGAATTTCGAAATTTTAAATTGGTGTCCGTATTGGTTGTAGGTTTGTGATGAAGAGGTGGTTTCGGAACTGTGTACTACAAGTGCACGAAAGGTACTTAATAGTACTATATTTGGTACAATTTGGTATTGGGTGAACAGATAATGCCTAACCTTTAAAATTTGGTATTGAGGACACTGTTCATGTGTAGCCTAGAAATATGGAGATGGTTTTGAAATTGTGTACCCAAAATATTTCGAAATGTACTGAATGGTACTTTATTTGGTATTGGATGAAGGAAAAGAGCTGAAATCCCAAAATTTGGTGTTGAGATCTTTGTTGGTATGTTGAACTGAGATATGTAGGTAATATCGGAAATGTGTGCTATGGTTGTACGAAAAGTACTTAATAGTACTAAATCCGATATTGGCTGATGGTATAAAGTTGTAATTGCGAAATTTGTTATTGAGATTTCTAGGATTGAGATATGAACAAGGTATTCTAAAATTATACGAAAAGTACTAAATTGTACTAAATTTGACATTAGGTAAAGAAATAGAGTTGAAATCCTAAAATTTGATAAAGATGATACTGTTGGTGTCAATGGTTTAGATATGGAAGGGATACTGAAGGGACTTAACAGGAATAGTTTTTCAGATTTTTTTCCCTAAAATTCGCAATTTTTTGTAAGGACTTCCTGACAAATATTCGTTGATTTTGTGAGAAAGATGATTGATTTTGTAGAATATTTCAAAGCGTTCAAGTTAAAAAATCACGAATTTTTTTTTTAAAGATTTTAAGAAATTTCTCCTTCTGATTCTCCAAGGATATACTCTCCAAAATATGGTGGTGTTAAAAATATATTTTTAGGAACTTCCTGGGCAAATGTCTCATTTTTTTAAGAATATTCATTGGCTTTGTAAATAATTACGACTTGTGCCAGAAGCCAGTGAAATATTCCCTCCATCTAATATAGAAACAAATATTAGGATGTGTGAATAATTGTAACAATATTGTAGTCTTCTGTGGGGAAAGGTACCAGAAGGAATGGGTCAGATCTTTGGTTGAGAAAAAAAATAGATAGACCAAGTTTGAAAAGAATCGCTGACTTTTTTCGCAAGTTATAGTTATTTATATATTGAAAATTGTGACCATAGTGAGTGAGCTGGTCCCACATTTGAAGCAGATTTTGCCTGAGCGAAAATATTGGGATATGTAAAATTTGCCGAGAATCGGATGCTTAATTTCCATTTATGATCGTCAGGGATATTCGAAATGTTGACCCCTTGTGTGGGAGCTACTAGAAGGAATGGACTGATGTTGCACCTTAAATAGTACTAATAACAAGTAAAAAAGCAGCTAAGTTCGAAATCCGAAAACTACCACTTAAATGAAAACCGTTATATGGGGACTATACGAAGACGTGGACCGAATATCGGGGGGTACCGTTATATGGGGACTATATGAAAACGTGGTCCTGCATACGAAATTTTTTGCCCTAAGTTGTAGTTAAGATCTTCCAATACGAAAGTTGAAAGGATTGCGGTGAATAATGTTGCTGAAATCATCAAAATACCGAATATCGGGAGGTACCGTTATATAAGTGCTATACGAAGACCTGCATACAAAATTTTCTATCATAGGCTGTAGTATACAGTACGAACTTTAGATATGAAATTTGAAATAATTCCGTTAAATAATGTCGCTAAAATCATGAAAATACCTGATATGGGTGCTACACGAAAACGTAGACCAACATGGCCCATTTACGAACTTAACCTTCCTACTGGTAAACTATGCATGTATGCAAAATTGTAGCCTTCTATCTCAATTCCTTCGAAAGATAGTGTGATTACAACAGAAAGACATACGGACAGACAGATAAACAGACGGACATCGCTAGATTGTCTTAGAATTTTACGCTGATCCAGAATATATATACTTTGCAGGGTCTATTATGAATATTTCGAGGAGTTGCAAACGGAATGACAAAGCTAATATACCCTCCATAGAATGGTGGAGGGTATAAAAATATTAGTTTATGCAATGCTTTCAGAACACCTGATTGATCCTTTCTTGTTCTGACGGACACCCTAATACTGTTTCAAATGTTCCATTTGGTCCAAACAGGCCTAAGGTATATACTCTTTACTTCAATGACGTACGTTCTATCCGTATTAAAGAATTTATACCCTCTGTAGCCATATGGCAGAGTATAATTAATAGACTGAGATTATGCATTTATCGGCAAAGCGCCTGATATAGTTCAAGAATCGTGGAGTTTTGAATATCTTCAAAGGACCTTTAGACTAAAAATGGTGTATTTTTCCATTATAATTTTTTAATCCCAACAGTATTCTAGAATTTTATATTATAATAGTTTCGGATGTTTTCCTGACAAAGGATACTTTTTCTAAAGGACGCCAGTTCAAAAGTCGTATTTTTTATTTAATATCCTTTGAGCGTCCTTGAGGTATTTTTATTCTTTTTAATCTGAATATCATTTTATGATTCGAAAAAATATTTAATGTTATTTTCAAATTGGTTTTTCCTAATTGAAATTACTGTAGCAATAAAATTTTTCATTGAGATTTTTATCGTCATTGAATAAACCAACAAAGTGCTTAACAAAATATTGCAATGTTTGCAACAAAAAACGACAACAACAATAACAACAAAAAGAATTTGCAATTTATTAACAAATGTCTCATTTAGAAACAAGTGATGCCATCAACTAGCCCAGTCAAGCTAAGCCAATCACAGCATTGCTATCAGCAGCATCAGCATCATCATCAGATCTCAGAAACTGCAGTCTGTCATAGGTATCCATTAGGGGCAATTTTCCACAAAAACACACACACTCGCACACACGAAAGAAAAACTAGCGACGTATGTATGTATGTCTTAAAAGCCCTTTTTAGAGGCATTATAAAGTCTGCTTCCACTTTTTGAATGAATGATAATGACGACGACGATGATGATGCCGATGCTGAGGCTGCTGCAGTGGCTGCTGATGTTAATGTTGTTGAAATATCATTAAATCACTTCTAAACACAATTGCAGCAATAGCTCACAGACATTCGGCGAGACGTAGATCGGTATGGTAGATGAATTTATTTAACATCCCCCCACCCTTCTCCCCCTAACCACTTGCATTCATCTTCTTCGTTGCCATAATGCATTCTCATATGAACTTAGAGATCGTTTTTTTTTTTTTTTTTTTTTTTTTTTGGAGGTAGGAGTGTGGATTTATTTTGGGCATTGTTCCCGTTGTTCTTTTTTTTTTGGGAAATTTTGTCACGACTTTGAATTGGTTGGAAAACTGTTTTTTACCCACAATGACGTTATGATGCAGTGTTTTTGATTTTCTTAAGAGTTTTTCTTTTTTGGTAACGGATTCTCATGTTTGTTTTAGCCATGTGACTTTGCATTTGTTTCTCATGACAATGTCTTAAAAGGGATTTTGTAATATTTCAGTTTATGCGTTTAGGTTGTTGTTTTTTGTAATTTTCATTTTTATTCTTTGGTCATAGATGGATGATAAGTTCATCATCATCATCTTCATCACAAAATGTCATCTTCGATTACCACATAAATCACATCACCGAAATGATACACTGAGGCAGGCTCACACAGGAACTGGTCTCAGAATGAGTCTTCAATTTTTTATATCTTTTTTTTTGTGTCTCTTTTTTTGTAATTATTACACCAACTCACCATTTTTTCTTATAATTAAATAAGTTTTTTTTATTTATTTTGCAATTTTATAGTTTTTTTTTTTTCTATTTGTTTTGTTAGATTTTTTTATAAATCCATAAACTTAGCCAAGTGATTTAAGCGAAGATGCCGCGTTGATCCCCGTTTTATTGATTTCTAGCCAGACCGTTTTGCTGCTCGTTGTTAACTGCTAAACTTTGAAAAGGCGAATGATGCATTTTGAGTTCTCCCTTTGCCAATTTATATGAAATCCGTCAGAAGGAATTTCCGAAAACACAAAACAACCCAAACAAGCGCACAGAGGCTGGCGCAAAAAAAAGCGCCAGTCAGCAGCTATCAGCTACCACAACAGCTAGCATTTTTTTTTTTTTTTGGTGTGTTTCTAGCAAGACGCTCTTTGCTACTCCCCGGTAGTAGTCCTCAGCTATTTTTTGTTGTTGTACGCTGTCGTTTTCGTTTCGTTTTTTTTTTTTTTTTCTTAACTGCCAGCCCCATCATGAGTTATGTATGTGGCGTGCGCTGCCACTTTGTGTGTCTCTTAACTTGAGAGATTTACGTTTTCATTAACTCTTTTTGGTTTCACTTTCGTATCATAAAGATGCTTCTCCATGCCTCCATGTATTGGAGCCGGTGTTTTAACCCGGACTTAGTTGTTGGTTTTGCTTTAGGTATTTGTACAACGCCAGGTAACAGCCTCAACATCTCATCTCCCTTAGTTTTGATGTGTCTGAGGGGTTCCTCAGATCTCTTTTTTTGTTTTGTTATTTTCTTTAGCTTACTCATAGTTTGTCTAATGTTTTGTCTATTAGCTTGAGTTAGATGAACTTAGGCTCCCTTCTGAACTAGACGTTGTTTTTTTTTTTTTTGATATTGCACCGGTGCACAGTATTTTTCGAGTGGATCAGATGAACATAAAATTACTATTCAAAAACAAGTGAAAATTATATAATTGTAAATATGAGCTATTCTTTTAAATTGTGGTTAAACCAGTATGCGGTTCGTGTATTTACTACATTACAACTTAGTTGAAAAAATGAATAATAACGGCCTTAAGCTTCGTTTCGAGTTGGTTCCAAATCTGCGAAATTAAGAATTATTATTACTTGCTTAATATTTTGGGGAACCAGCCCTTTCAATATAAAATAAAAATATTATTCCATAACTTATACACAACTATCCTTTTTTTCAAAAATGTGTTCTACTTATTATACCCTAAAACAGTATGTGTTTGTTTGAGTATGATTGGGCCAAAAATTATGTAACACCTCGAAATATTGATGCTCACATAGCAATCTTACCATCTTGCCGAGCTAAGTTGATCTAGGTCCAATTTGAAATCATACTACAGGTCGCAATTATAGCAGGATCTTCACGAAGTATTGGGTGGTTCAAAAGGACCAAAAAAAGAAAATTGTCTGAAGTTTGCAGTCGCTTTACAGCTATCAATTACAGACCAACCGACGCGGAGTTCAGCATTTTAGGGGTAGAAGTCAATCATTTTGTTTTGTCTTCGGACAATATTTATGTAAAAAATAATAATAAATTCACTTAACCGCGAATAATTTTAATTCCTGTAAAATCACAAATACCCAAAAAAGTCATTCTGAAAATTACATTACATTACATTACATATATAGAATAAGTAATAAAGCTGGAAATTCACCAGGGGCGAACTTTGAGTACCCTCCACCATTTGGAAAGAATTTACAATTTTCAAAAATAAAATCCGTTAAAAATTCTGTTAAAATCATAAAAATACCGAATGTAGCCGTTATATTAGGAACTATACGATGACGTGGACCTGCATAGGCAATTTTTGTCATAAACCATACAATATTCAAATGCGAAACATGAATAAAAAAAATCGGTGAATAATGTATCTAAAATCATCAAAATTCCGAATATCGGGAGGTACCGTTATTTTGGAGATATACGAAGACGTGGACCTGCACAGACAATTTTTTGTCTTAGGCTGTAGTATTCATTACGAACTTCAAATACCAAATTTGAAACAATTCCGATAAATAATGCCGCTAATCAAAATACTGAATATCTGGAGGTACCGTTATATGCGGGCTTACGAAGACATAGATCTTAACAGACAAGCTCCTGTCATAGGCTGTAGCATCTACTACGAACATCAAGTACCAAATTTGAAACAATTCCGGTGAATAATGTGGCTAAAATCAACAAAGTACCGAATATCGGGAGGTACTGTTATATGGACCTGCACAGACAATTTTCTGCCTTAGGCTTTAGTATCCATTTCGACTATACCAAAACGTAGACCTACGTGGTCCATTTTCAAAATAAAAAATCGTGCATAATATACATTTGAGTAAAATTTTATCAATCTACTTCATTTCGTCCGGAAGCTAGAGTCATTTCCGCAGACGGACATCGCTAAATCGACATAGAATTTTATGCTGATCAAGAATATGTATACTTTGTGGGGACTAAAATATATATTTCGAGGGGTTACAACCGGAATGACAAAATTAATATATCCTCTATACTATGGTGGAGTGTATAAAAATATTATTCCACAACCTATGGTGTTGGTTTGAGTATGATTAAGTCATAAATTATATTACACCTCGAAATATTGATCCGCACATAGGATCTTACTATCTGGCCGAGCTAAGTTTATCTAGATCTAATTTGTTAGAACACAATTTAGGGTCAGTATTGAAGCCTAGGGGAGATGATCGAAAAATATTTAGGGGTTCAAATGGACCAAAAAAAGAAAATTTTCTGAATTTTGCAGTTGCTCTACAGATAGCAATTATAGACCAACCGACGCGAAATTAAGCATGGGTTTTAGATTTTAGGGCTGGGTAGACACCTACCCCTTACTTTTGTCATCGGACAATATTTAGCGGGTAAAAAAGACCGTAACTTTTATGTAAAAAATAACAAAAATTTCCACTAAACCGCGAGTAATTTTAATTCCAGTGAAATCACAAATCTCACCAATTCGGAAACACCTCTTGCCAGAAAAAGATAAAAATCTCCAAAGCTTATATTTGTTCAGGGCTGTATGGTATAATTAAAAAAAAACGTATTATAGTGTTGAAGGGTATCACATGGTCGGCTCAACACGGGTGAGTGTACAGGGTGAGATGGAAAAACTGCAACCAACTTCAGACTGCTGTCATTTCCAAGCCACTCGTCCGACAGCTGTTAAAATTATTCCAGTGACAGCTCATTATATTGTTTACAAGCATACAAAAGCATTTTGGTGAGAATTTTTCAGAAAAAAGTTATTCGTTATAGAATTCAAGCGTGATAGTGCGATTCCCTTATATATGGCTGGAAAACAACAAGTGGCTATCTTTAGAGCACTTCAGCATTTAAATGTGAATAAATCGTTTGTGTCTCGTACCATCGCCGGTTACCTTGATACTGGTAACGTAGCCCGATGTCAAGGAAGTGGACGGAAGACAAATCAGCAACATCAGCAGAAATGGCTCGAAAAGTAAAGACTTGATCGAAACCCACACGCAGTGGCCGAAAAATGGCTCGTGAGCTGAACATATCGCAATATTCCATTTGGCAAATATTGAAAAATGAACTCGGGATACACCGTAACAGAAAGAAAATAGACTTTCTAGAGAAAATTGAAAATTGAATAGAGCTGAAATCCTGAAAATTTGATGCTGAGGTTTCTGTGGGTATCTGGGATATAGATATGATTTTGGAAATGCATATTATAGTTGTACTAAATTTGGTATTGGGTGAAGCAATAGGACTGAAATCCTGAAATTTGATATAGAGTCACTTTTGGTATCTGTGGTTAAAATATGGTGTGCGTTTGGAAATGTGTATTATAATTGTTCGAAAAGTACTTAGTAATACTAAATATGATATTGGGTGAAAGGATAGAGCTGGAATCCCGAAATTTGATACTGTGGTCTCTGTTGTTTTCTGCGATTTAAATATTGAGATGGTTTTAGAAATGCGTACCATAATTGTACGAAAAGTACTAAATAGTACTAAATTTGAAATTGGGTGTTTGAATAGAGGATAGGTATTCTGAAATTTAGTATCGAAGTTACTGTTGGTGTCAAGGGTGGAGAGAGGTGGTTTGGAAATGCATAGTATAACTATAAGAAATGCGTGATAACAAATTTGGGATTGAGACATAATATAGATCTGGAATTCTAAAACCTGATATGGAGGCCACGGTTGGTGTATAGTTTTAAGAGAAGGATGTTGATTTGGAAATGCGCACTATGATTGTACCAAATGATGCTAAATTTGCCGTTGAGTGAATGGATAAAGTTTGAATCCTGAAATTTGATATTGAGGTCAATGTTGGCTTCCAGGACTTTAATGGTGGTGGCCATTTTTTTTTTTTTTTTTTGAAAATATTTTGAAATTGTTATTCGCTGTCAAAGTAGTGGGCACTTGCTAGGTTTTCTGCTACGAGAAAATAAAAAAATGGTAATCTTCAAAAAAAAAAAAAAGAAAATAAATAAAAAAATGAAATAAAAATAAAAAATTAGTCCCATATGTGACGAAGGAGCAAATGGTGTAGATCAAATATTTTTAATTCTAAAAGTCGATCCCTGCAAAATCTGTCAAATTCTTCAAATAATCTCATTATTCTGTCCTTACATTAATCCTCCTTCAACCACTGTAACCAACCAATTCATCCACAACTTTGTCTCTTTATGGCTGCATCATTTGTTGTAGCTGTGTGTAAACCTCTTAGTTCTCTTCGAGTCAATTACACATTTATTTCAATTGTTTCAAAGATCATCGTCGTTATATCTCTTCTTTTTTTAAGTCGGGGTGTTAATGAAGTTCTGTTGCTGTCTTTTTTTTTTCTTTTAATCCATAATTGGCTTTGTTTCTTGCCACACGATACAACACTGAGCTGATGGGCTCATTTAGACTCAAGTTAAATTCGCATTAGCTTAATAACTTAGTTTCGAATTTTTTTCTGCTGCTTCACTTAGGTTTTTTTGTTATGCGAACTCTTTCAAGTCTGTGCTGTTCTAAATTTGAAAATAAATAGCATTTTTTTTTTGGTTTTTGCTAAAGACTTTAAAAAAATTGCGTAAATGATTAAATATTATATTGTTGAGATGACCACAATAGCTAGCCTTGGGCAGCGTACTGAGTACTTTTTTGTTGTTATGAAATATCTTTTGTCAATTGAGATGGTATGAAATCTGAAGGATGTGATATTCACAAAAAAAACATAAATTGTATCT